CAGTATACACGGGAAACTTATACAAAGTTACAGTGCATTTTCTAAAGAATGAAACATTTTACCTTGTTTTCATCTTGATGTTCCTTTGTTGCTGGGAAGAAAATAACCTATTAAGCTTTCCTCTCACTTCACTTTCCCTTGCATCTGATTTTCAGTTTTTCCTTCTGTTTTGAGACATTGTCACTGTTTTTATAAAGGCTTATGCAACTTGGTCTATTGAATTTACTCGAAGAACTGGAACTGTTAGAAAAGAGATAATAACATGAAGAGAAATTTTTTAATTCCTGTCTGATTTGGAAAAAAGAACAAATTCTTAACCCTCACTCCTAAAACTCCTGAATCTAAATTACTGATATTTCCTTGGCAGTGAATTTTTTATTTTTATGTACTCAACATAATTATCAATTTTCCTTAAGGTACCATGTTCTATGCATCAGTCTTAAAATTCCCATCTACCTAGCACATTTACATAGCTTCCAAAGTGGTTTTTAGATTGCTTTTGAACAAGATAGTCCCTAATGTTTACAACCAATTTTTCAAAATTGCATTCAGAAGTCAAGTGTAGAAATATCCACTGATACTCGGTGGAGTTTTATCTTGGCCTCACAGTAATATGCATATTTCAAAGCGTTCTCCCTCAGCAAAGAGTTTAATTATAAAGTTGTAAGTATATTGATGAACTTCTATTTCATCCTTGTTATTTTCCAAATCAGTATGACTACAGGGGTGTGTAAATCTTAGTTGCAAGAAATTCAAAGAATAGACATTTTGGACCTGAAGACTTTGGGGAATAATAATGCATTAATTGCTCCTATTACATGTAATTATCTACACACTATTGTATTACTTTGGTCTTGCATCAAGAGCTGTTGAGAGACAAACAATAGAGGAAGACTGCTTTCTTGAGTGCTAGATCTATTATTTGCATAATAGTATCGTTAGGATTCTTCCACACATAAATGCTTCCTATTGAATTGAAGTGGGTAAATGTGTCTAGTCAATAATCCAGTAGGTTAATGGTGTTGCCTATTCCAGAGTTTTCATTTTTAAAGACAGAAAAGTACAAATTAGGATGTGGTGGAAATCTGGTTTTACCCCAGCAGTAAAAGAGAATGGTGCTTCAGGGATGGTTAGGTCAGGTAAAGCTTTAATTACACTTAGAAGCCGATCCAGACACGGGAGGTTCCCGTGCAGTCTGAGTACTGGCTGAAAATAAATGGTAAGTTTTATACATAACTATCTCTACATTTGTCACACGCATAGATTGTTCTACAACAAGCAGGTACCATTTGAAGCAAGGCTTCACACATCCCGGAGTTTATGGCAAAGAAGTGAGAGATGCAGTTATTTGGAGGTTGCCCAAGGAGACAGACAAGCTTGGCATGTGACCTTCTGAAATGAGGTGGAAAGCAACCTTTGTATAGAAAACCATGCGGAGATGCAGACATAAGCCTTCTTGAGGGAGAATCATAAAGTAAGCACTCGTGTTAGTGACTCTTGCATTGGTATGTTAATTATAATAGGCTGGGGTTTTCTAGCAGGGTTGTTTGTTTTGTTTTGTTTTTTTTAATAACGATCTACTTAGAAGCTGCCTCTTCAAGAAAAGATACCAAGAATTGAGAAAAATCTCAAGTAATGAAAGAACAGTTGCTTAAGAAGGGCAACCTGACTTTTCCATCCACACATTAAAATCTGTACCAGGTGAAACGTCAATGCTAAATGTTCCCAATGCCATGTTTGTCCTCTGTTGGCTACTTGGTGTTGTCAATATCAAAGGAACAGAGAGACCAGCTTGGTTTACCAATTCTTATGCAACTGTTCTGGGTTCATGTTACTTAACAGTTGCTCTCATAAAAATAGGTTATGTTTCAGTGAACTTTACAGCATAGTGTATGTGGATTTCTGTTTGCATTTGCTGTTCCCTCTGGCTACAATACAACTCCCTCATATCTGGAGTGACTGGCTCCTTTTCATCTCTGAATTTTTTTTCTTGAATTGCTACTTTTGCAAAGAAGATCTCTCACACACAATTTTACTATATACATCCCATTATCTCCTTTCAGTCTACACTTTGTCTCTATTTGAAATTCTGTCTTAAATGCGTAACATTTAGTTATTTATGGCTCACTTTCTACTGTATCTCTTGCATTATCTGTTTTATCCATGGATCTGTGTAACTAATGTTCTATGTCAATGGATTGAAAAAAAAAAAAGAACCAACTAAATCACTGTGTATTCAAATCCATTTCACTTTGGGGAACGGTTGATGAAAACATTGACTGACAGAAAATGTCACATTCAAAAGCTCTCTGCTTCAAAGATAACTACACTCCAAAATATAATGATGATTTTAGAATGAGGCATCTACTGCATACTAGTTTTCATTTCTTCAGAAATGGCCAAACTACTGACTTGGCAGTATTATTGGTTAGGATCTTCTTGCAAAGTCTTTCAAATCTCAGCACAAGCACATAAGGGAGCATCTTTTTCAACCTGTGTCTAAATCCACATTTGCACTGTGGGGATAGAGGGCTTTAAAGTCTATGTGGGAAATGATCATTTGTGACTAAAGAACTTAGAAAGTGCTATGAGGCAAACCCAGGGGAAGGAGGCTGGCCTGGCTTGTGAGTTCTTAGTCAGACATTTAAGAGCATGCAAGACCCAAAAGTTGACTTTCACTGGGAGTAGAGAGAGAGATGGAGAGAAAATTGATGAGCAAGCATGTGGCAGGAGGCTCTGTCCTGCAAACAGTAGGTGTCAGCAGAGAGTAGGTTAGAAGTTAAAAATAGAGCAGCGAACCTGTGTTCAGTCTTTCTAAATTTTTGTTATTGGGGTAGCATTTATTTAGCGTTTTAGAGGTACAGTGTCACCCCCTTCAAGTGTATTTGTCACACCCAGAACCTCCATCAAGACACACGTCCTCCTCTACCATAGGTCATGCTGCTCACCACCCTCCTCCAGCTCTCTGGTAGCTTCAGTTGTACAGTCAGGTTTCTAGGGATAGTAATTGGGTTGGATTTAGATTCCACATGTAAAGTCCACCACTATTCAGTGTTTGTCTTTGTCCTTCTGACTTATTTTACTCAGCATAATCCCCTGTAGCTCCGTCCATGTAGTCGCAAATGCTTAGAGTTTCTCTTTGTCGGTAGCGAGTAGTTTCCATTTTGTGTATAGACCACCTCTTAATCCACTCATGGACTCATCCCTCCCTTCTTGCCCCTCCACTTCCCATTGGATGCCGCAGGTCCATGGGCAGTTTGCCAGGATTAGCTTTAATCAACTATGTCTCTGATTAAGGTCATTCTTGTGGATCCACTCCACTCTTAGTTCTAGAAGCCCCAATAGAGGAGTCAGGGGTTGGAGTTCAACAAGCTCCACCTTTTATCATCAGGTCTGCTGTGAGCACCACAGATGGGCTAGCAGGTGGCTCCGCACTGTTCTTACAGAAAGGAAATGTTTCAAAGGGAACTAGTACTAGGCAGTTCTTTCATGGGTGACATGAGGGTTTTCTCTATCTATGAGCAGTATACTATTTTTTATACTATTTTTATTTTTAGCTCATAAATGTCAGAGGTATTGAGGGCTTTCAAAGGAAAGTTCCCTCTTATCAGATGAATATGAGGCCTTGAACTAAGGCAGGGATTCCAAGATTGCTCCTAAATAAAATTCTCAATTATTCATTAACCTGCTGGATTCAGTATTACAAAGCAAGTATCCAAACAGAACCATAGTCATAATTTCAGTCTCTTGCTGGGGCAATTTGGGAACTCATTAAGATAACCTAATTGGGTCATCTCTTCCTGAATGACAGTGGGGTGGTTGTGCTGAAAAGGTGTTTATATGTAGTGACACAGAATTAGTGGCAGTGCCAGGCTAACATTTTAATCATAAGAAGATAGCTTCTATCACTGGTGCCAAGTCCTCCATTATTTGTAACCACGCTATGCTGTTATTCAAGTTCCAATGAATATGTACTCTAAGACAAAATGAGCACCATGTTTCAAAAATGTAGTCACTGTTTTCCCTAAGGCTAGTATTATGAATCCTGAGGTACAGGCATTTAATAGTAAGGCACACTTTTATTTTCGTGGATCCTACATCTCGATGTTCCGTTATCACTTGCTTTAAGAGTAGCTGATAGAGAATTAAAATGGGTAAAGAAGGCAACTTTGGTTCATATAATGTGAAAGCAGGGTTCCCAGTTCTTGCCTGGCATTTAACTCAAGCTAGGAAAAATAAGCAATAATACAACATAAAACCTTATTATAATATGACACCTCTGCTTTGAGCTTTGTGAAAAGGTAACCATTTTAGTTGCTGCAATTATAGGGGAACTTTGCTTGCTTCAAAGCACAGGGTTGACCTGAACTTTGTTTCATTAGGAGTTGACAAGGGTGAGGTATTTATATTTTCTATTTGGCTAACAGTTCAGGGAAGCAATTGTATTGATTGTCAAGTTGCAGAGCATGAATGATTATTTTAGATCTGTGACTAGAGTTCCAGGGAGCAACATCAGGCACAGGACACAGTGACCACCAAACCACTTGTCTGTCTTCCATGAACTTGTGGGCTTGTGTCATGTTTCCAAGTGTTTTTGCTTTAGTACGTATTTTCATTTTTCACCTATTTAACTGAGTATTTCCATTTTGATTTGTGATTATAAAGTAAAATCTTGCAAAATATATGGCCAAGGATTAAAACTCTCTTTTAATATAAGAGCTGACATGAGATGACTTTAATCATATCAATATTTAAAGAAATTACCATGCAAGGAAATGACATTAGTTTTATGAACTCATAAGACAGTCATGTCAAGTCAGTGTTTTCCCAGTTACACCTTTGTCTTACTGTAAAAACTTATGCTCTTGATTCCTTAAATGATCTATTTTTCAGGATAAGCAAGTTTCATACAGTTGGGAAAACCTCAGCAAAATCTGAGCATAGAGTGGCAATTGCTTCAAGTAAACAGATAATGAAGTGAGATTTCTTCTATGTTAAAGGCTGATGAAAGTCACTGCAAAAAATCTGACTGGATGTATGAACACTTCAGCCTACTGATAGTTTCTAGTTGCTCTGGAGGATTATAGAACTACCTAATGATCAACTTTGTGTGCAGTTTTCCAAAGTAAGTGTTCTAAATCTGATTCATCTTTTATTTTATATATATATATATATATATATATATATAGATTTCAGACAGCAGAAGCAGCAAATGATTTTTAATAATGATAGGTAGGCAAATAGCAAAGCAAAACCTTTAATTTTTTTCCCTTCAAGCCAGCATATATATAAATGGAGAATAAAGTTGTAAGATGAATTTCAGTCAATTCTCCTCTAGATAATCAGATAAAATAAACCTGAATTGGAAAGGAAATTGTACCAACAGATTTTGAAGACCATATTGAGTTTAGGAGATAACATTTAAATCCCTGCACATGTGGTGGCCTCTCCAGTTAGTTTCAGATTGCTGGGTCTGGAACAGCAAGTTAACAGGCTGTGAAAGGAGAGAATAGCCATGAGATGAGACAGCTGATATATCAGTAACCACTGGGATTGGAACACGAAATGGCTATTACTTCTTCCTTGCCAGGTCGCTATAACCATCCCAGATTCAAAAGAGAACAAATTTACTGTGACGGTGTAGATGGAAGAGGAAACATTTCTAAGAGTTATTACTGTGACATCCTTCATTTAATAGGGATTTCAGAAGAGTAGATAGAGAAGGATGGTAAAGGTGAACACCATTTGATTGCTGTTCTTCTAATGTGTCTGGCATAGTTTTGGTTTTCGTTACAGTACTAAATGAAATAATACTTTCCTAAATAGAGATTCTGTTCGAAAGGAGATTTTGAAAGAGGTAACTCTTTGACAATAAATATAAATTTGACATAAATTTTATCAAAATGAGGATAAAGGCAGCAAATATTTCCTGACAATGTATGTATGCATTCTGGCTTTTATAGTCATGAAAAATCAGTTTTAGGTCTTCTTGCAACTTTGTAGAAATTGTTTGTATCACGATCCGAAGTTCCCGTAGCTTGAAGTATTTTTGAGTATTGCAATGATTAAAAATTTTGGTAGATGCACATTTTATGGGGGTGGAGT